CCAACTGTGAAAAAACAACTTAGAAGCAACCCACTTTGCTCCCTGTCAGGAAACTCCCCAGTAGGGGGCAGTAGAAGAGCAAGCCAGCCCAAACCCGGTGTTGGCTAGTCCTTCCAAGGGGGCAGGACCACCAGCTCTGGGAAACCCATCCCCTCCTGGCTCACGTGTGGACACAGAGCTAGAAACATGGATTAATAGAGGTCGCTGGTTTGAACTGGTCTCCCACATCTTTCTGGATAACATCTAATCAAATGCTCCTCCTTCTCTTTTTAGAGTCTTTTCAGAGGGGTTCTTTGAAAGTTGTGGCCGTTGTCAGTTGGGTGCTAGGAGCCCTGGGCACATTCCCTGCCCAGCTTGCTTAGGCAACATGGGGAATGGGAGACTTCTCCCATCCTGGAGGCTCTTGCAGGGATTATGAAGACAGACATCCAGGGTCATTTGACTCCTGCCAATTTACCTGACACCTGAATTTGGCTATTATTTCCTTTTCCTGCATCTCAATTTCCCCAATTCTAAATTGAGGCAGTTGGGCTACATACAATCACAAACCAATCATTTATTCATTCATTCTTTCATTCATTCATTCTTTACTACATGCATTCATTCATTCTTTACTAAATGCATGTTTATAGGGAGAGCACATATTCTGGATGTTAACAGGGTCATCATATTCTTGGATTTGATTTAATCTTTTTTTAAAATTTCAGGATCTTAGTTCAAGTCCAAGTGGTTTTCTTTATTTTGTTTTTTTTTGTTTTTTTTGGTCGCATAATTTGTCCTCAATGAAGGTGTAAAGAAATTTTGGAGATTTTAACTTATTTCATATCTTTTAATGACATATGTGCTTTCCACAGTGATGTTTCACTTGCGATTTGAGGTATCGGGAAATCTCTACCCGGTTCCCCAGTGGTCATGGACGGCCCTGGGTTTAGTTTAGTTTAGATTGTAAGTCGCTGTGGTTTGGCCTGGGCTGGGGCTGGCCAGCCTCCGCAGGCTTTGATTAATCCTCTGTACCTCTCATTTCCCTGACTATAAAAGGAGAAGCTACAGTTCCGAATAAGCATCTTGCAGAAGAAAGAAGCCAATGAAGAAAGTATTAAACTTTCATCCAACACCATAGGAGAGATGTAGTTATTAAATTTCAGCTGCTTATCAAACTGATATGAAAGTCATTTTGCATGATTGCTTTGCATCCTCAAATCTTCTGCTTTTATTTGCAATGCATCTCCGTGCTTTCTTATTAGAAAAATACTCAAAGGATAAAAAAAGCTGATAATATTATTCAGTTTTGACAATTAGGTAGAAAAAACATTCAAAGAAGTGCTTTTTTATTGCAGCTGGTAATAATATCGGGGGTCCTCTTGATAGCAGTCTATGCTGATGCTACCCAAGGTGACACTGGTTTTATCTTGAATTTGCCATGTACTGGTGATACTGGATCTGGGCAAGGGAGGCTATTTCCAGCCTTTTCACTGGAACGTATAACTCTGGTTTATGTAACGTCTAGAAATATGCTGAGTCTCTTGCTTTTGCACGCTCTAGTCTTTATGGCATGTCCACTATGTTTATGGGACCCCAGAAAGGGACTTTTGCCATTACTGTGAGCTGGGAAATGCATTAAGACCTAGGGATGAAGCTCCAGGCGGCAGGCCACCTACAATCGAATTTCATCTCTTCTTTATTAAATCATCACAGTTTACTTTTAAATTATATACATATACAAAATTATAAATTGTGTATATATTTACTCACGTGTAGAAATATGATTCTTTTCATCACTTCACTGTCTTTCGTGGTCTGTAAAAAATACCACAATGTTTTATTTTTATCTGTTAGCCAGTTTGATACACCTTTTTTATTTTAGCCCTTTTAATAGCTTTATGAGGTAGAGACTCATTTTCTCATTGGAAGGCAGCGGGAATTGCAGCTCAGAGAGGTGAAGTGACTTGCTTAAAGTTACATAGCTGGTACATGACAGCTGCATGATTCAAGCCAGGTCTGTGTGACTCCCAAGAGAGTACTGTTTTGACCTTCGCCTGCTGCCAGCAGCTCCTTCAGAATCATTCTCCCCATAGTCACCATTCCTCTTTATTTCCATGTGTTCAGAGACTTTAGCACCGATAGCGTTGCCCAGTAATAGAAGTGAGCACCAGGCCTTTGGGTGCAGAGATGCGGCAGTGGGTGCCCCACTTGCTAAGCCAGTGAGCTCCACCCTCTCCACCTTCCTTCAGACTCTGCCATCTATCTTCACAGCTCTTGTGTAGGGAAAAGGGCCATTGTTACCCAATCTATGAGACTGTGACTGACAAAGGGAGGAACATTCCTGAAATCCATTCCTGGAGAGCTGAAAGAGCTCTTAGCAGAAGAGGGAAATGGTGGCCATGTCCAAGGGAAATAGCTCTTACGGAAAATCAAGAGAGAGCCTAATTAATTCAACAAGATTTACTGAGCATCCTCCATGAGTCAGATGTAGTCCTTGGTGCTTGGAACAAGGAAACAAAACAGGCAAAGCTGCTTGCTACAGCGGAACCTGAGTTCCAGCTGGGGAGTCAGTCTCCCAGCAATAGACATAATAGCATGTGAGGAGGCAGTGAGCGCTGTGGACAAAAGAAAAATGAGCAGAGTACGGGAGAAAAGGGGGGCAGTCTCAGTACTAAATAGCCTGGCCAGAGATGTGGGAGCCAGCCTCAAATTTGTCTTGGGAAATGTCTTCTCCCTCTGGGTCTCACATATCGTGATTGTAAAAGAGGAAGTCGAAATAAACCAAAGTTTTCCAAACTTGGCTGATCTTAGGAATCACTAAGGAGATTTTATGTTTGTCTGTTGGTTTGTTTGTTTTTAAACTATATAGAATCCCAGGCTCACCTGTAGATTCAGGCTATCAGACTATGATGGACCTTGGGCCTAGGAATCTGCATTGTTCAAAAAAAGAGTCCAGAGGCTGGCCCGGTGGCGCAGGGGTTAAGTGCGCATGTTCTGCTTCGGCAGCCTGGGGTTCACCAGTTCGTATCCCGGGTACAGACATGGCACCACTTGGCAAGCCATGCTGTGGTCGGCGTCCCACATATAAAGTAGAGGAAGATGGGCACGGATGTTAGCTCAGGGCCAGTCTTCCTCAGCAAAAAGAGGAGGATTGGCAGCAGTTAGCTCAGGGCTAATCTTCCTCAAACAGACAAAAAAAAGAGTCCAGGGAAATGCAGGTACACAATGAAGTTTAAGAAGATGTGGACTATATGGCTGGGTGTATGTACTTAAGGGCCTCAGAGGAATCCTCTTCACTTATAATCTCTGTGACCTTGGAATCGTTCCTGGAGATAGGGGTATTCTTTACTCCTGGTTTGTTCATGAGGGTTAACTGGTCCAGCAGTTGCTAAGGCACCTGGCCCAGGTCCTGGCACATCACTGGAGCCCAGTATTACCTTCCTATTCCTCCTTGTGGTCCTAACATCAAATGCTACTTCTCTGGAATAATAGACCCAAGGCAAAGACGTGAAGAAGAACAGCTAGATGCGTAAGGGCTGAGAAAAGAAGAGAATAAGGAATTGGTAAAGTGGTTACCCTGCTGAGAGAGAAAAAACCTCTAAGCCATAATTTAGGCAGAGCCGATTTCATCAACGGGGTTAGCAAAATATGCATGCAATTAGCTCAGATGATGAAGAAAGAGTAGACTTCAGTATTTTCCCTAATGAGTGCATGCTCTGTGGAATGGGGTCTGATTTCCTCCAGGTCGGGGGTGATGGAAGGTGATCGTCCCTGAGTCTCGGGGGCTCGAGGCAAGTGAGTGCCGTTGCTGCTCCTGCCTGTCTGCACAAAGCCCTGACATCCGCCTCTGCCACTGAATTGTCTGTGTGCTGAGCAGAAACCTTTGTCTCCTTCATCACCTGGGCTCTTACAAAACTGAAATTGTAAAGAGATAAAATTCATTTTGTTGTAAATGTAAAGAAATAAAATTCACTTAAAGAAAAATGAAGCAGAAACACAAGTGGCAGAGACCACACACCACATAAATATTCATCTCTGAAGGGGTGGAATTCTCGCTTCCACCCTGCTCTCCCATGAAAGCTCTTCCTGCTTCCCCAGCCTCATCATTTCTCATTCACTCACCCTGTTCTGGGTTTTTATTTTCTTTTTCTTTTTGAGGAAGATTAGCCCTGAGCTAACATCCGCCATCAATCCTCCTCTTTTTGCTGAGATCGGCCCTGAGCTAATGTCTGTGCTCATCTTCCTCTACTTTATATATGGGACACCTGCCACAGCATGGCTTGACGAGCAGTGTGTAGGTCTGTGCCTGGGATCTGAACTGGCGAACTGCGGGCTGCCACAGTGGAGCACTCAAACTTAACGGCTGCACCGCCAGGCCGGCCCCCCTGTTCTGTTTTTATATGGCTTATTCTCACCTGATATAGCATCTGTTTCTTTATTGGTTTCTTTTCCTGTGTACTGTCTCTTTCCCCTCACCAGAATGAAAATTCACAAACCCAAGGACTTTAAATTGCATTGCACCTTACCTACCACATAACAAGGGCTCAATAATACTTTTTTTGAATAAACAATTTTCAACTCACTTCTGGTTTCATACTGGTTGAATGTCACCAATCTTTTCTTATTCTTCACTCCCATAATTTCCGTTAGCCCACTAAGCTGGCAACGTCATGGTATACTTAACTGATAGAAATGGGCAATTCAAAAAAGGAAGAGAGAAAAATAAAGAGAGAAAGAGGAGACCAGTAGAAAATTGAGCACAAAGGTGTTCAATTTAGCATTATCATCTTTGTACATTATAGTTAATGCCTGTAGACCCCACAGAGCTCATAGCTTGATTTTTGATTTGAGGCACGCTTTCATAGAATCCACCATGTTAAGGGCAGAACAGGATTTTAATGGCCAAAGGCAATTTGCAGATTAGTTTGCAAAATTGCCAATTTCTAATATAATACAAGGAAACAGACAAGGCTGAAATGTCTTTGCAATGAGTCAAATATAGGTTTTATTTTTAAAAACATACTTTGATTAATTTCAGGTACCTAATTATCTCCTCAATTTAACAACTATTTCTGTTTAAATGACAGCTTTTTAAGTATTTGACTCTAATAAACCTCCCCTGAAAACTTGTTATGCTATTAATTTGGTAATTTTTTTTAATGGAATGCTCATTTGGTAAAGAAAACCCAGTGCATGTCTAAAACAGAACAAGAATGTGATCCAAAATAATATTTTACTATCTCACTACCCAGACGACTGTGCTGGACGTCCATACCACCATCTGTTCTGATGGCCTCAGGTGCTGTCTTTCTGAGGCTGGGGGCTGGATGACCACCAGGCTGAAGCCCATACCAGGCCCCCAAGTCCATGTGGACTCCAGCTCTGGGGGTGATCCTTATTGCAGTTCAATCTCGTATTCATGTACAACTTGAGAAGCCTCAGCATTCTGCCATTTCCCACATGTTCTTGATAGTGATGATGAAGATGAAGATAATAGGTAGATAGGCCTTCCTTTCATTAAACCATTTATTCACCTGCAACAGGAGAAGATTAAAGAGAAACAGTGACTAAGAATGAATGGGTTTCCCCATTCCTAAAGGGTGGTGTGTGGAACATTGGCCTGGGAGTCAGATGATCTAGATTCTAAGCCTAGTCTGCCAATGACTGTTTTGCTCAAGCCCTTATATAGACATTTATATAATGAGAATTTGAGGCCAACATTAATATTCGATCAGTTTACAAAGATAAAAAGCATGGCTGTTGACCAACTTTTGGACTTATTGGAAATTCAAGCCAGCAAGCATTTGCCCAATGAATGTTCTGTTCCAGGCCAGTGCCATAGTCCCTCTGGGGAGTGGAATTAAAATATATGCATACGTGTGTGCATATACACACACACAATGGTGGTTGCCTACAGAAGGATTGCAAACTTTGGGATATTTTCAATTTTAAAGACAATGTCATGTAAAAGAAAAAAATGTAGACATTCTACGTTCAGCTCTCAACTCCACCCTTCAGTAGCTGTGATTGTGGGCAAGTTGCTTAATCTCCTTGACCTGCCGTGTCCTCATCTGAAGAATGGCAATACAGATACATGCATCATGGCATTGTTAGAAAGATTGGTAGTCTATATTAACAGAACACAAAACAGGTCCAGGCACATGGTAGGTGCTTGGTGAAGAGGGGCTGTGATGATGACGATGACGATGACGATGATGAGGAGGAGGAGGATAGAAGGTTCCGGGTGTATCCTTCCATAAATATGCTTCACAGGACAATAGGAAATTTCAGCTCAGAAGCTGTAAGTCAGGGACCTGAAGGCTATGAGTCACCACTTTGCTTCGTGCCTGTCAGTTCATTTTTGAGAATCCACAGAAATAGAAATGTTCTATCAGACCAACTTGGATTGCCATCTGGCCCACACATTTTCCTGGCACGGCCCGAAGGCCAGCACTGCTACTCTCCCCTCCAAGCAAAACCCCAAGTTTAGCAGAACAAAATCTGGTGCCGAAATGCATCAAGCACAGCATCAGTTCGTTATTGCGATTAGCATATTAGTAGCGGTTACAAGGCAATTAACATGAATAATTGAATCTGGGTTATAGTAGTTAATATAACTACCAGTTATATTAATATAAACTGCTAGTATCCTATTTCATAAAGCAGCACGGTAATAGGGAGTACTTCATACTTTTCAAATGGTTCTAACGGTCATCAGCTCATTGAGTCTTCTTTGGGCTATACTATTATCCTTAGTTTCTCTTTGGGGAAACTGAGGCTTGGAATAGGTGAAATTCATCCCAGGTGATGAACTGATATGCAGAAAATTTAGATTAGAAACTCTGTCTTCCAACTATTTGTATAGAAAGCCCTGGAGATTGAGGAGAGAGAGGAGAGACCTTTGTTTGGCTCAACAAGTGGGTGTCAGAGGATGCCAGGGCAGGAGGGACCTTGACGTTCATCAAACACAGCTCTACCACTATACAAATGAGGAAACCGAGGCCCGGAGACGTGAGTGCTTTACCTCCAACGAACAGAGCTGTCATACGGATTCCAAATTGATTATTTCAGAGTACCTTTATGGGGTCCCAATCTTGAGCTCTGAAAATGATCTTTTTAAAATCTTCTGTGAGCTGAAAAATGAATAATCAATATTGTTAAAGGTACGTATTAACTTAGCAATTTAGCTCTAACCTGTGTTCTAGTGCTGCATTTCCAAAGATGTATCCCATTTAACTCTGATTCAGTAAGCATAGCATTAGCTATTATGGAAAAGTAGGATTCCCTGATCAATTACATTTGAAATATTCTAGGTTAAAACATGAATTAAATAGAGGGTTTTTTTTTTATAGCTGACCTTTTTATATTTTACCTTAAATATGCAAGTAGTATTGTGTGTTCCCATCCATCTTTGTCCATGAAATCCTTTGCTCTCAGAAAATCCCTTGAGACTCACATTTGAAAGGTTATAGTTTGGGACACTTGGGTGCAGTGGCATTTTCTACAGGGTTTTAGTGCATTTGCTTTGTAGCGTGTATTCCTGATATATGGACGTCTGCTGCGTTTACTTCTGAGTCTGTGGCCAATTTACGGAAGACTAAAGTCCCTAAAAATATAAAGTGCAGATATGAGGGAAGCGAAACAATCATGTTTCATTTTAACTGCAATGCAGTTAAATCCACACTACAGGAGACGATTCTGAACCTCTGTCTCGGCCCTCAAACTCCCCATAAGTGACACTCATCTTCAGTCGCTGTTGACTGGGTGCCTACAATGTGCCAGTTTTCACACAATTTCTTGCTATTTTAGGCTCTTATTTCTGGATCTGGGCTTCCTGTGGTGCGACACCTGAGAAGAAAGCATGCACAGAAGGGTGAGTATTTATAGGTTTGGGGGCTATGAAATTAGGTGGTTGTGCTTTGACAGATAATTTCTAACAATAAGTATGATCCCTGGATGTGATCATATAAGTGAGAGGTGAAAGCAGCCATTTTTTCTAGGTATCCTAGATAATATAGCCACTGGGAAAAAAACAAACAAACGATAAGGGACTTTGATGGGATGCGAAATTCTTTTAATGAAGAAAATTAAGAATACCTGGGAAAGCGTGAGAAAAGTCAAGATTTGGCCAAAAGCTTGGTAACTTTTGCTTCTCTCAGAGACACACTTGATTTACTATTAACCCTTAAAATTCAAAGGCTTTGAGACTGATTCATGAATTCTGGCTTATTTAAAGCTTGGCGTCAACCACATCCGTCCTGGAAGTCTGATTGTTTGTCTGTTTGCTTGTTTATAATCTTTTGGGGAAAAATGTTGATTTTGAAAATTGAGTGAGAATAAACAGATACAGGATGGTTTGGGGTGTGGTCATTCTGACTTAAATTCAAAACATTTCAATTTGTTTTAAATTTCCAATCCAGCACAGAAGCTTGTTGTTTGCTGCATTTTGTAAAAAAAAATAAATAAATAAAATTAAGAACAGCCCAAGTACTGAGGTTGAAAAAGTGTCCAGTGAACGTAACTTTCTTTCTCAAAGACCTACACACAGGGATTTTTCACTTTGCACTCAAGACCACATTTTCAAAGGCTGTCCCGCCCCTACCCTCCTCTTTGAATATGTAAAACTCTGCATGCATCTAATCGTTCCTTCAATTGTCCACTTGCACCTTCAAATTATGGGACAAGTGGCCAATTGGGCCTGCAATTGGCTAATTGTCAGTGCAATTAGCCAATTGTGGGTATAATTAGCTGCATGTAGAATTAATCATATGCACAGAGTGGGCAGCCACTCTTTGAAAACGTGGAACTAAATGTGTTCTAGACGCACATCTGGACCCAGGCACAAAGGGACGCAGGCGAGGGTCCTGGAGGAATCACTCTTCAGAGAATCATTAAAACAAATCTGATGGTCGGTTAAAAAGACCACGTGATTAGACCCTGAACATCCAGTCTACTTTCTCTCTCAACCAGGAGCTTGGTGTGGACAAGGCAAAGAAGGTCTGAGCATTGAAAACAAATTCTTCAACCTGAAGACCTTTTGCAGTACACTCTCCTGGCTGCTGGTACCCTCCACTTTCATTTTTTTAACTAAACCTTTGGATTTGTGGTAGATTTGGTGAGTTGTATCAGGCTGACTCTGTAACTAGCATCCTCAATGAGGAGGCTAACTCATTTTGGTCCAAATACTTGCCACAGTGTCACATGTCACCATCTTGAGAATTCATACCTAACACCCAGGCTTCTCAAGTTGGTGTGTGTATATTCCTGGGGGGACCAGAGGACACTCCCAGGATAAACACAGTGCATGTCTCTGAAGCACCAATTTTATCTGATGGTGAGCAACATAAAACAATTTTAAATTTTAAAGTAAATGATATAAAATTTTGAAAGTGGTTAATGTCGTAGAGGTTAAAAATCCCTTTATGGGTTCATTTACTAGACTTCTTTACAACCTAGTTTACTTATATATAAGGATAAACTAATGTAAACTGATCATAATTACCTCATGGGGTGTTTTTAGAATTAACTAACTTCTTTCAAAATTATATAATAAAAGTGAGGGGCCGGCCTGGTGGCATGGTGGTTAAGTTTGGCACACTCTGCTTCAGCGGCCCAGGTTTATGGGTTCGGATTCTGGGCATGGACCTATGCCATTTGTCAGCCATGCTGTGGTGGTGTCTCATATACAAAACAGAGGAAGATTGGCACAGATGTCACCTCAGGGACAATCTTCTTCAAGCGAAAAAAGAGAAAGACTGGTATCAGATGTTAGCTCAGGGTGAATCTTCCTAAAAAAAAAAAAATGACTGTCATTTATTTGAAACAAAGGCCATGTGAAAAGGATGGGGACATATCCAAAGTTAGAGGTGTTCAAGGAGAAGAAAGAGAACTACAAATGATGAAACACTTCTTGAATATAGAGACATGTTTCTTTAAACATAGATGTAGTCATCTTCTTCTAAATTCTAAATTTTGGCTGGATTTTATATACAAACCTTTATTTATTGAATAAATTGCATACACACCATATGCATTTCTAGAAAGAAAAAAAGGAAAGAGAAGATAGGAAATGCTTACTTGTACAGCAAATACTTTTACAGGTGTTATCTCATTTTTTCTTCAAAATCATAACATCAGATGGGAATAATAATTGCCCTTTTTTTGGGGTGAGATTACTGAGTCTCAGAGACATTAAGTGATTTTCCCAAGGTCATGCAATATCAGGCAATAAAGGGCCAAGTTGCAAATTCTCGTACATAGATCTCAAAATCTTCTTTTGAACAGATTCTGTAAACATAAACCATTATAGACATAGACATATGAGGAAATATTATGATAATTGAATTTTATGTTAAAATGCATATAAACAACTCATCCGAGTGCATTCATCTGAATACAAAAATCTATATTTGAGATTTTCTGCATAAATATTAATTTGTATTAAGGAATTCTACAAATGATAGCATTGATGCTAAGAGAGGTAAGGTTTTGTCTTTCCTTCCAATTGAATTGAGCCTAAACTCTGGATTTACAGATCAATGTCTGAAAGAACTCAAAGCAAGTCAAGCCAAAATGAAGTTCTCAATCTCCAGGCCATTGCAGAGCCTGAACTCAACAATAATGCATGAGAGCAGAATCATTCATTGGACATGCTCTCTAGTCGGCCCTTTGTCCAGGCTGACTTGTGCACTGTTTATTGGTAACCTACTTGACATTTCAGCAAACATGTTGTCAGCATTTAAACAAACTTACTCTTCATACCATAACTCTTGACTCACACTTGAAATGCTACCTCTCTATGAAATCGCCTTGTCCTCTCAGGATAGATCTAAATACATTTCAATACTCTCATAGCTCCTGTCTTGTAAAATGTATCTGTTGTGCTCTTATCTGTATCTGTCAGCCATTGCTGTAACAATGCTGCTTGACAAACAGCTCCCAATTATTTGTCAGCCCATGTTACACGTAAGCTTGCGTAGACCAAAGCTTTGCAGCTCTGGGCTCTGGAGCTCTTCTCTAAGCTGCTGATGGACTGTGGATCTGTTCCCTGGGTCTTCTTATTCTGGGATCTAGGATAAAGAAACAGCCCCTGCCTGCTACACGGTGTTGGCTCATGGCAGAGGTCAGGAATAAGAGAGCTGGCAGAAACTCACACTGCCTCTAAAAGCTGTTGCTTAGATGTGGTAAACATCACATCCATTTACACTCCATTGGCCAAAGCAGATCGTACAGTCAACCTCTGTGTCAAAGAGATGGGGAAGTAAACTCTGTCTTCAGGATGGCAAAAGTAGAGAGAAAGTGCGTATTTCTGAACAAATTGCCAAACCTACTGGGTTACCTATCTACATATTATCTTCCCCAACTCATCAGTAAGGTAACAGAACGTAAAATGCCTATGTGTCATCTTCTCTCTTCTTACTAGCATAGAGTAGGTATCCAGAGAAGGCTCCTTTAATGCTTGAATAGGTCGTTAGTTTCATTTGGGAGTAAAAGAGTAAAATGGTTAAATCATATCAATATTTAACTTTTCTAATCTCTCTCTCACACACACACACATATACACATGCACATGCACACCCTTTCCTTTAGCAGTGTCATTTTAGAGATGAAGAAACCAAGACTTAGAGAAGCTAAGAACTGTGTCCAAGATGATGCCGCTAAGAAGTAGCCTGATGATGAATCATGCACGGGTGCCTTTGACTGAAGATCCTATGATCTTAACCGGTACACTACTCTGAACTTCCTCTTCTTGTCCTCTGGAGTACTTGGCTGAGGAAAGGAGCGAGTGGGTCAAGCAGAGAAAGCTTCCTAAATGATGTGCTGAGGACAAGCAAGAATAGTCATCTATGGTGTTTTTCTCTTGCTAAAAAATGCAACTGTGATGATACAGCATGTGAGGGCATCCTTACAGAAATTAGCAGCAGTTACACTTAGATGATGAAAGTGCTGCCTAGCAGTGCTTGCCTAACTTATTTACAGGGCACACATAGGAAATGATTTTATTTGTGTGACACAGTATGAAAAACAGCAGGAAACAGCAGAGAGATCTGGAAAGAGGTGACTGGCCAGAGGTCTGCAGCTGCCACAGACCCTATTGGGCCACCTGAAGGCTCTGGGATGCTTTGCTAAGGACAAGCCTTCTGGAGATGGCCCTGTACTCCAGAAGCATACATGCCCACTCTCGTCAGAATCAGAGGGAAACTAGACTCAGTTCAACCACAGGCAATGTGATCTACTGCTGTGCATGATGTATTCCTCCGTGGTTTACTAAGCACTCTGTAGATAGCGGTAAATTCATTATCCAAAATCCAGGTAAAGACATCCTGTTGGCATAATTATAACACAAGAACCTGGTCCTGTGAGTCATCCCACATCAGGATGCAAAGGACCTTAAATGTCAATGTCCTGATTTCTCACTTCAGAGTTTGAACATCTTTATCCGTAGATTACTCATCTGAGTTCTCAACTCTCCTTAGCCCAGCCAAGAAACTGAAGGAGCTTCTCAGGAGCCAAGACCTTGAATCATATGGGAGGTCTTAGTCCTACCCTATGGCCTCAATTCAGAATCGATAAATAGAATAATAATCACTTGATTTTAAGCTTACTTAAAAGGATAGATGACTGAAGTGGCTCATAAAAGTCTTATTAGTCAGAGAATTGGCTGTTAACAGGCCAACCAAGAAGAGAAAGACCAAAAAAAAAGTTTTTAAAAAGTAAGAAATATAAGGAAAAGAATCAAGACATTCTGAGGGCACTTGGTATCAGGTCAGATTGTCCTACGATCTCAAGGTGTGATTGTTTACCTAAGTGTCAAGTAAGAATAATACGGTGGTTCTGAATATAAACTGGAAAGTTCTCCTGCCACCTTTAAAATAAAACTAACAAAAAAATAAAAATAAGACAATAGAACAAATTTGCCTTCAGAGGGAGAAAGGGAAGAAATTCAACCTCTTTTTGAAGTCCCACCATACGCCGGAGATGTTCCACACGATATTTCCTCTAATCATCATAATGCACCTTTTGGATCTGTTTTGTCGATGGAAAGATGAGATTTAAGGATAACTCTCTTGCTTAAAGTCACATGGTGAGTTTCAGATTCAGGGATGTTCCTTTCCAAAGCCCATGTCATGAGCTGTCTAGACCATCCTGTGTGGGACACTTCATCCCGTGCTGAAGTGAGATAAGTGGAGGTCCTGGTACTAAAGGCAATGACTCAGAGGACAGGAATTTGTTAGTGTTGTGCACATTCACCCGCAAAACCAACCACAGACCCAGGGCCCTTCCCCTAAGTGCATAAAGACAAGAACATATAGGCTGGAGTTCACACTCTGATGGCCTGTATGAACGATCTGTAGCAGGCAGACCCAAAGCATTAACTAAATGTTGCTTTTTTTGTACTTAATAAATAATAACAGCTACATGCCACTAATGTGGTGCCATTTCATTTAATAGCATCCAGCACGGAGTGATTTAATTATTCTTTTAGTCACTGAAACATTCATCATAGTTTTCCGGTGGCTCCAAGAGAGCCGGCTTGCCTCTTGAAGTCATTAATATAGAGGCAATGAGTGGCCTCCTCTTGAAAATTTCGCTCAGCTGTGAATCTGGGGAAAGAGAGCCAATACCTTTAAAAGTGTAATTTCTGTTTTTGTTATTCATGGATTAAAAAAGCAAAGACTTATTGTGTTCCTGCTATGAGTGCCTACTGTATGCTGAGTTCTGCATGGGGCTATTTTACTTGACAGTTCTCATCAATTCGTCACTGAAAACGAGCAAGACAGGTATCTTTATTCCCATTTTAGAGGTAAGAAAACTAGGGACTAAAGAGTTAAAATGACTTCACCAATGCCACACATCCAGCTGAGATTTGAACACGGGTCTAGTCTAAAACTCTTACCAGGGACATAAAATTCCTAGATAATTGTGAAAAGACTGACAATAGTTTATCATTGAAAACCATGTATACCAGGCAATTTACATTCATGATTTCTTTGAACCCTCCAAATAATCTAGCAAGTTAGACTACGTCCACTATCAGATAAGGAAACAGAGTCAAGGAAGCTGGGCAATGAACTAAACATCACATAGAAAATGTGCAGAGCCAGGGCTCATTTTGAGGTCTGACTCCAAGGTAATTTCTAAAGTCACTGTACCATATATTAGCATTAAAAGAATCGTGGCAGGATTGTTCAATAGTTACTGTGGATCTTAGTCAATGTGCAAAGATAGTGCTCCCATTTGGTAAAAGGGCTTGATCCCTACTTTGTTGGGTTTTGTAACGCTTAAAATGTAATAGTTCATAGCATATGCATAACATATAGAATGGTGAATATGTAATTATTTTTAATGAGTAAATGGTGGCATCTAAACCACTTAGCTTCATGGAGTCAGCCTGGCAAAGAGTCAGTTGTATTTTTTCAAAAGGAACTAAGCCACTTTAGTACCTCTTTTCACCTGGACTCCATTCCAAAGCTACTAACTGCATATTTCTCGAATCTTTAAAGTGATGATACTCTATGGCATTGCAACTGCATTTTAGGAATTTAAACCCTAAGCAAATAATCAGAGATATGTTACACACTACATAAGGATATTCATTGCTGGGTTATTATAACAAAAGAACTGGAAGGATCCTACAGATTGTGATTAGTTGTGTAAATTACAGTGTATTGAATTCAACTGTATACCATCAATTCCTTAAGGATGATGCACACGTGTACAGATGCATGCAAACACGTTGACACACACACATGTATACATTGAAAAAGAATGGAAGAATACCCGTGAACGATTTAACAGTGGCTTCAGGTTGAACAAGGAAGGGGATTATGGATATTTTGCTAGTGTGTGTGTGTGTGTGTGTGTGTGTGTGTGTGTGTATTGTGTCTATTAAGCTTCTCTCTGTTTGCCAAGTTTTCTTTATTGAGTATGACTTCTTTAGTAACTAGCAAATGAAGACTCGTGCCTGAATACCCTGTGGCATGGTCCGGTCCTTTTCTTAACCATAAGCATCATTAAAAGTCAAGCATCCTGGAACACCTGTTCCATCTTCACGGCGTCAGTGAACTGTAGAGTCTCGTTGGTAGCAGTTGCTATCTGGGAAAGTCTACCAGCTCTGAAGGAAACCATGATGCCAGTCTCCATAACAAAATCCAAAGGGTAGTTGTCTGAAACATTTGCAAGTGGATGGAGGAAAATTCCCTACCTCTTCTACTAGGCCTACGAAGATAGCACAATAATGGTTCTTACAATAAAATAGGCTTTATCCAAGGACACTGTCAGTGTAGATAATGTGGCTTTCTTTATTTAAACTCTTGGTCTTTTGGTTTTCTGCCAGTTTTTTCCAGAACAGAGTGAATTTACTATGTGTAGAGTAGGCAGCCTCAACCATTTCAAGCATTCGGGTTCTTTATAACCCTAACAACAAAAGTCTGCAACATCAGATTATAGTGTTCGTTATGTTAATGAAGTCACGCTTATGAATGAAAGACTTTGATGCATTAATTCAGTAATCTTTTAAGATGATTTGTTATATTTTAATCCCAATAGAGTCTAAATACATATGCATATATATTTTTATATATACAAGCGTAATATACTTCTATGCAAAATCTAACAGTTATTTCATATGAATAATGAAAACCAACTTCTTAGCACTTACTGCGTGAACCAGGCATTGTGCTCAGTGCTTTGTAAATATTATTTTTGTCAATACTCACAGCAAACTTACGGTGTAAGACCTGCAGCCACTCCTTCTACACATGGGACACTGGTTGGAGAGGCTGTTAACTTGGCATGGTCATGCAATGGACTTAACCTTGACCCTTGAGCATGTAGCTCACATGGTTAAGGATAACTGGTTCTAGTTTCACAAAGCCTGTTTAACACTGCAAAGAACCAATGGGACTTGAACTATGTTACATTGCAAACTTCTATAAATAGGATCAATCTAAACATTTCTAGGGAAAAACTCTTCGGTATAGAATCTTGGAATGGCTACTTGTTGAAAACTGAGCCTTGACTCCAGACCTCTGATAGCTTCTGTGATGTATGTAGGTATTTGTATGCTTGCCAGGATATTGAAAGCATCCCTTTGTTTTGCGACATCACTCATAGCCAGGAAGACCCAAGTGCCCTCGAAGAAGCAGCCTGGTGTGCTGGACTTCCGCTGGCCCCACACTGATGGCCACCTTCCTCTTTCACTCACTGGGCCTGTTACTGTGGGCAAGGATTTTTCTCTCTCTGGCTTCAGTTTCCTCATCCATAAATGAATCGAGCAAGAGGTTTGGCCTGTGAATGCCAAGCTCTTGTACCCAAGGATCCTGAGACATAAAAGCAATGAGGTTTTATTCCCTCTGATCCCACACACACAGCACAGACACAGGCACTTAAATGCCTCCATTTGAGGTTAGACTATTTACAAAAAGATTCAACAGTCTTACCCTCTTAAAGATTAAGCTTTTTTTGGTTTAGGGTTTTTTTCTGGGGGCAGGAAGGGGGGTGTTTTGTTTTGCTTTTTCCCAGATTCCACTAATGTTGCAAGAATTAGAGCTGGATGCTTTTCACCTGGTCTCAGACCTGGGCTGGTCCACTCCATTTCCCCAGCACCGACAGGCAGACCGTTTGTGTCCAGGCAGCTGTAGGGAGAAAGGGAGATACTGGTGAGCCCAGCTATGGAGGCCCAGCCGCTGAGTCCTGGGGGTGCCATTCCTTGCAGCCGGTTCTAAGGGGCGAATCTGTGTCGATCAATGCATTCATTTACTCTCTCCCAGCCTCTCCCTCAGTTAACACCCCAGCACACACAATACCAACGAAGGCGATTATCTCTGCTAGCATAATTCCTCCCTAACATCTGCTTTCGCCCATAACACTCCACTAATTTTTCCCTCATTTCATTACACATAATTTTCTTTCAACACAATCTACATGTATTAAGTGGTAATGACTTTCCAGTTAAGAACAAATCGACACCAAGGGACCCCCGTCCCCCCCACGGTTGCCTGCAGAGCCTGACTCTGGCTATTAGAGATAAATTCGGTACCTCAGGAAGCTGCAGTGAGGTAATCAATCAATTAAGCGGTTAGGACATACATTATCAAACTTCCACAGTGCAGGGGGCAGGGGGCCATGCTGATCTATTTGCCATGAATTTTTAGGAATTCAAAAAAAATGAATAAATAAGATTGAGAGCTATTATACAACCAGGCTATAATTTGCCACTCAAAGTCGGAGGCTGGTTTTGTCAGACTCAATGCTGCACAGAGGATGGGGAGGGCCTCGGGCCTTGGTGTGCACTTTCTGGGTAGGAATCCTGGCTCTGCTGTTTATTAGTGGGTCCTGGCCACATGAGGGGACCTGGAAGTCTGAGATCCCTGCCCTTTAGGAAGGAAAAAGAACACCTGAAATTATAACTATTACTACCTTGGTTCACGGTGGGGATTAACAAAGAACACGCATGTGGAAGCACCTGGCCCGTGACGCGAATTCAGGAAACCTTAATTATCTTACTGCCCCTCTTAGACAGTGGACTTAGGAAACAGAAGGTGACAGAGATCATCAAAATGCTCACACCAAACCTAGAGTTAGATATCATCATTGTCATCACCATTGTCATCACTTTTCTCAGGTTTTCAAGAAACAGCCAAAATATATAGAATCCTTCCTGAAATTCCATTCAGACTATTTGCCAGTTCTCATTCATCTGCTTTATATGTGTCCTCTTTGTGCCCAAAGCTCAGTTACCTCATCTGTAAAAATGGGTGTATTAATGTTCCATCCACCACAGCAAAGCTTATTGGAAGACCTAAACAAAGCATATATTAAACTGCTTTGAAAATTGTCAATCACAAACATGATAAGATTTTGTTTAATAATATCATTTAGCTAGTGGTATTTTTCCAAAACTGAATCCATCCTATGCATATTGTATGTGTCTGCAGCGTATATGAAATGTTACCCACATGGTTCAAAAGACAAATTAGATGCAAAAACTGAGGACAAAGAAGACAACACTGGGTAGATCTGACAATATAAAGATAAAATATTAATAAAGTAAAATAAAGAGACAAAATATTTTCAACATAGGTCAGACTATAATATGTAAGTATGCTTATGTGATTCCTAATATTAAATTCTTGCAAATCAATGAAAAAGAGAAAGAAAAAATAAAATAAAATATGAATTATAATAACAGTGAACAATGCTTACTATTTGCCAAGTCACCTAAAGATTTTATGCATTTTTACTTAACAAGAAAAGGTCACAAATAAAAATGAGCAATGAAGAAATAAACACTGAAATAACATATAAAAATATTAAATCTGTTTATAGTCCAAGAAATGTAAGATAACATCAAGGAGATATGACTTTTCATCCCCAAATTAATAAGGTTTAAAAAAACTGACTTCTCTGGTGCTGATGCATCAGGAAAAGATGTTTTTGGCTGCTCTTGAGAATATAGATTGGTAAAAACAAAACCCCTTTTTGGGGAACAAATTTCCAATATGTATCAAGAGCCTTAACATATACCTACCCATTGACCCATGAAAGGAGTTTATCCTTAAAAAACTTAGAGCCAGCCCTGATGGTCTAGTGGTTAAAGTTCTGTACTCTCACTGCTTCAGTGGCCTGGGATCATTTCCCTGTCATGGAACCACACCACCCGTCTGTCAGTTGCCATGCTGTGACAGTGGCTCACATAGAAGAACTAGAAGGACTTACAACTGGGACGTACAACCATGCACTGGGGTTTTGGGGAGAAAAACAGAAGTAAGGATGTTGGCAAATCTGTAGCTACCAAGATGTTCACACTTTGCTGTTTATAATATCAAAATATTTGAAGCTATGGAGTCCAGTGCTGGTAGACTGTGGTCATTAATTGAGCAGTATTTATTGAGCAACTACTTAGTGCCAAGACTTGTTCCAAGTGCTGAGGCCACAGCAGTAAACAAGGAGCACCAGGTCCCATTCTCATGAATCTCCAAGTTATGATATATGCACAGGATGGACTATTATGGATTTACTTACTCAAAATATTTATTTGGGGCCTTCTGTGTTCCAGGCACTGCTCTAAATCTAAAGGACACGTCTTTGTACAAGGCAACAAATTCTTGTGCCCACTGAGCTTACATTCTAATTGGGAAGATAGGAAATATATAACTAAACATTACTCTGTAGCAGCATATTTAATGATGTAGAAAAAAAGCATATTATAAGAAGTGAAAATGGTTATAGGACAGTGCACGCAGTATGAAACCACTTGGGTAAATAAGCAAAAATGTTCATGCATATGCATTTCTAAGATATGAGAAGCATTTACACAAACTTCTAGGCAGTAACATCTCTAGATTTTTTTATTTTATTCATTTGCTACTTTTATAATTAAAAACAATTTTAAAGCAAAGACTACTGATACACATGGCAGGTCCATGCTTGGCTATTGATTCCATTTTTTGAAAGAAATCAGTTGATTTAAACATTGTGACAGCCTCAAGATTTGATTTCTTAATAACTAGGATCAATAAAATAAAATGGGTGCTGAATCATTTTCCAAATTTTGTGTTTCATAATATAGAGGAGTTCAATCCTAGGCTCTGAAAGGAGGAGAGGACCTTAGAAGTTATCTTTACCTCGATATTCACTTCACAGTGGAGGAAATTGAAGTCCGCAAGCATTAGGACACTTGCTGGAGAGGTGAAGCAGGACCCGAGCCCATTCAACTGAAACTGACTTCGCTTTACTGTGTTTTCCATGCACAACCTAACTGTCCATCTCCAGCTGATCCCAGTTGAATCCTCAACCTAGCTCTCTCCCTCAAGATCTCAAAATGATGGAGGCAGGGAGTGGAGCAAAAATGTTGCCCAAATTATTAGCTGTTCCCTGATAGATGCTCCCTTTAAATAAAGCCAAACAAAAGTTAAATAAATTGTAAAATCCCCTTAGAACAGATGTAGCTCCTAGGTCCTGCACGCAGACAAAGGGAAAATGAGAAGCGGCAGAACGTAGGAGCTGTATTTGTGATTAAGCTATTTTATTTCTGAACCAAACTGATCAAGATGCGATTCTAGAAATTTGTGAATGTACCTTGAGTTACCTGGAAAGCAACAAGTTAGAAAATGTCATCCTCATCATCAGTGACATTAGGATAATTATTGAGGACAATTATTAGGATATAACTATAGGGCACTTTAGGGGTTACAGATCCTGTTTGCACCCATCTCTCCTGGTGATCTTGCGCCCAGTTTCTAGGTGAGCATGTTGAGGCTCTGATGACGGGAGTGGCTTACCTGCAGTCCCATCTCAGAAATGGAACAGAGCTGGAACAAACGATCTGCCACTGAGCTCATGGTCATCTCTTGCAAGAAAGAGTGGGAAAAGGTTTGTTAGGATAGGATTGTTGAATTCAAAAACCTTTTCTGAAATTTGGAGAAGTAATGCAAAGTCAAATTGAGAAGTTATGATTGTTGCCTTATTTTCTCTTTTTAATGAACCCAAAGAAACCCATTGTCTAAATTCCAAAGATCCAGCTGTCTGTTTTGCCTGTCTTCTAAACCTTTCATTTTGTTTAGTTTTGTGACCAAAATATCCTTACTCAGCCAGATTCTCATGCCAAGCAGGATTTTAATTTTTTAAGAAGTAAATTTGAACAGGATAATATGGGAGCTCCATAGAACAGTAGTCTATGAAAAACAAATCGTTTGTTTATTCGGCCATTTGTTTCAAGACAAAAGTGAAAACATGGGGCTGAACAGATCAGGAGAGGCTTCCGGTTATTTCCTCTGAGACTCTAAGACCGGGCAGGATGAAACGTGAATGAAAACCATGCCAGATGCACAGGGCGCAAACACAACTTTCTGTCGCACGCTGATTTGGTTATTTCTTTTTTTCTCAGACGCTAAAGGCCCCAACACTCTATGGAGCTAGAAAATAGAGTCGTACGCAAAGTGATTAAAAACGCCCCTTTGCACCAAGCCAGTTCTGACACAAAACACCTTCTACCCCAAGGGGCTCACAGGGCGCGTCTCCTCATGGACTTCACGGCTGAGATCAGTATCACGAACGTGTCAGAGAAGAATGCTGTCTGGATGGCTAGGAGTACGATTTTATTTGCTTCCATTTAACCACTATCTTTCTTGCCCGCCTTCCCCTTCTCCGCCTCCCCCATCGCAAGATGTCTGGCACCCAACGTCTGGCATGAAATCTTACGGATCTACATTTTCCACGGGGCTGTGACAACAGGTTTCAACTTGACTTACCATCCCCGGGAACATGAAGTTTCATTTGCTTATTTCCGAGGACAAGGAGGGTTGTAGCCCCTGGTGCTGAAAGGGGCATCTTTACATTAGATTGGATTTTTCTAAAGAGAAGATGAATTCATCTGTCATGATTTATTTAAGCAAAGTATTTTTATTGTATTATGTATTGTAAAGCACATTCCGCTTGTGTATGTCATTTCGTGGCTTTGTTGTTTTAAAGTTACGGTTAGCCTTGAGAATATCCACTGGCAGAAACCTGCATGTAGCATCCTAAAATGTTAGCAATAAAAGGATGTAAGGAAGGAAGCTTTCTGTCAGTTGTGATGTATTCATTCAATACACCAAACCTGGTTTTTACAAGCTAGGGAAACTGAGGCCAGAAAACACAAGCAATTTGCTCAAAGTCAGAGCTGGTTCATCGCAATGCTGACATCCCTGAACCGGAGTCAGGATATTTCGGATCCACAGATTACTCATGTCATTGACATGGTCTTCAGGATGCCTTAAATATTCATTTTATTTTTTGCTTTAATCATTCTTTTATATCACAACTATATCTACTTAGAAAATGTGGCCCTTCCATGTAATGCTATCTTTCTGGACTCAAATATAGCATTAAGAGTTGATTATTTTGCAGAATTTTTAAAATGGTTTCCCCACTCTTTTTATTTTAAGTGATATTGTGCTTTTGTTGATTTTTAAATTGGAGGATACCACCATTTTTAGCCACTTCAAACAAATTATGGGTTGTGTACACGAAACTGATTTTACAGGGAAGGAAAAAGGGATGGATGGATGGATGGATGGATGGATAAATAGATGGACGAATGAATGGATGGATGGATGGATAGATGAATAGATTAAAGGATAGATAGTGTGGATGAATGAATATATAGATAGATAAACAAATATATATTTATATACTCACAGATGATACCATATTAATAATAAATTATATTGCTTTCCACAGAGATCAAGCTAACAAACACTATGCATGCATCTATCTCATCGAACTCTTTCAGGACAGAGCTCTCTTCCTCCCTCTGTCTGCAGGTCCCCATCTAGGACCTGAGACCACGTAGATGCTAAAAACATGTGTAGAACCAAAAACAGCATCTGCACCATCAGAAGGACTGAAAGTTACAGAAAAGCCCACGATTAGATAGAACCTTATCAATGTAACCAGCCCTGGCCTGGAATCTTCCTGTCTCCAAGTGGGCCCTCTCCCCTGTCTCAGCTTTTGGGGGCCTCTCTCTCAGCTGCAACTGGGGTTTGAGGACATGCCAATCCCTTTCCTGAAAGGCCAATCTGGGGTCTGCTCAATGCCTGTGTCCCTCCTCCTCCGGTTTATTTATTTTTTTGTCTTTTCCCTTCTCCCTGGCCCTCCCTCTGGTGTGTTTACTGGCAGCAGCCAGAAAGACCACCCTTTCCCCCTCTCGCCTCGGTTCAGCTGCACCTCTCTCCTCCAATAAACCGTTTGCATTCCATCTGGCGAGTGTTCGCTCCGAAGACATTTCCCTGTCAATCTCTCCCGCCACATTAAAAATCTGTCATTACGATTGCATCGCCGCCTGGCTCCTGAGATTTCTGACTGCTTTATTGCTCTCCTCATTTTTTTCTCTTCCCTGCTACAGCCGAGAAGCAGAAATAAAGGTTTGTTGTTGAAACATGGCCGGGAGGAAAGAAGGAGGCACACATCTGTCAAGGTATTACCTTTCTTCAACCAGGGATTAAGGTGTTTTACGGCATTCGCTACTGAGCATCACACTGAATAAATTTTCTCAGTAGAACATAAAAATGAACTCATACATTTTGAACCAAGTTTCCTTCTTTCGAGCCAGCCTGGATCATTATGCAGCGGCACCAGCATACAGAGGGGACAGCGAGTCAGGAAGTCCCTCGGACTCTCCCCACCTCCCGCCTAAGCTGCATTATTTAAATGCCAGTTGAGGCAAGAGAAGCATCTGGATTAAGGGGAGATGCTCAGGCTTCCTCATCTTGTGGGAGAGAATGGAAAGATCTAGAAGGAAACTGGCCCTAGTTTCCTCTCGCTCAGGCCTGGCAAAGCCCTGCTCTTCTGTGAAAAATTAGATCAAGTCAGTTTCCTTGGGGAGTGCCCCTTGATTTCTCCCACCGCCTCCTCACTACCTGCTCTCTAGGAACACTTATACGACAACTGTCTGTTCCATGCCTGCTTCCCGCTGGTCTGTGAGCTTTTTCAGGGCAGGGACACCTCCTCCCGCCAGTGCCTGTGTGTACGAGACTTTGCAGTATCTACAAGCAGTCTCACTACCCAACACTTTTCAAGCTCTCTCTCTGAATTCTCGACTTTGTCCATGGGCTAGCCCCTTTAGTACTTCCAACCACCCATCTCAGTGAACTATTCGTATTTTCACTTTAAAGATGAGCAAACTGGGGCAGAAAGAGGGCTTCGTAGCTGGCTGAAGGTCAGACAGCTGCAGGGACAGGTCTGGAGTTTGAGGCCGGCAGAGTCTGTGCTCTTCCGCACTGTTCCATCCTGTGGAGGGCGCGGAGCCCAGGGAGGGGGTGGGGCAGGCTTTGAAAGAATTTTCTGACACAGCAAGGTGTTGGGAGGAGCAATGGTGCCTGGGAGCATTATAAGTTCAGGTGTCCTCTGTTCCTGTACACAGCTGTAGTCCCACCCAAAGCTGCAGTGGCTTATGACTCTGCAGAGCCCAGGATTGGTGCTCCAGGCTCGGATTTCCTCTTCCCTCCCTCCAAACACACACACATTCTTTGTTCTCCCTACAAACTAACCTCTCTGCCTGTGATATCCCCTCACCTGAAATTCTCTGTCTCTCTCTTTTAGGGAAGACTCCTATTCATCGTTCAAAACCTTTGCCCCTTGGTGCAATCTCCATTTACCTCTCAAGAACTGGTAGAGAACCTCTAAGAAGTCATGCAAACCTTTCTTCACTAAGTTTATTGTACGCCATCTGTTTGCATGGCAGCCTCCCCAACAGCAATCCGGCATGCCGGTCAGTCACTGAGTGTTTTCTGTACACATTAAGCCCACAGTAATCCTTGCAACAACCCTAAATTACACTGCTACCCTCTTTCCCAAAAATGGAGGGGAGACCTGTTATTTGCCACCACAACTGCCTTCTCACTGATTACAAGAAGACCCTTTTGTTTTCCCAAGGATCTAATGGGGTTAGCAGTAGAAGAGGGCCTGGAGATGGTTTTGGGGTGAGGGATGGATCAAGGCTCAGGGATCTGGGCATTGCCTGGGACCTGGGGCTGGTAACTGGTGAATCTGGAAGCTGGTGCTGGTTTCCATGGTTTCCAAAAGTGACCCTTGAACTTACCATCCCCCCCCAGTAGTCCCGTCCTCCATGAGGTCGCAGAGGGGCCCCAGGAGCCTCATCTGAATCCCCCAGATCCAAGCGCAGATCCTGGCACACAGCGGTCCTCAGAGACAGAGAGTCTGCGCTGCTACCAGAAACCCACTTCAAATGCCAGACTTAGTTTCCTGGACCAGCAGTGCCGCTTGCTTGGAGTCTCAATGCCGAGTTCCATCATCTTGCTATTTCCCAGGCACTCTCTCTTTTTCCATTTTGAAAGGTCCACCTCCCTCTGATGTCCACAGCCATTGGAGTCACCCCGGCCTGCTCCTGGTTAATCCAAGTCTCAGATTAGACTCCTTCCCACCCACATGTTATTTTTGTCAAAACTCCATCTCAAGCCATTCCTAGGACTTGAAGATGGCTGATCTGTTTAGGGCTTGGCCAGAGTAACCGTTGGACTAAACTTGGGGTGATAAAAGTGAAAGGTTTTCTTGTGAACCAACCAAAAACATCAAGACCCCTAAAATGTGAGCAGTGAAGTACTGCCCAAGAGAAGCTCTTGGCAGCGGTGGTGAAAAGAGGAGCATGGAAGGGGGTGTCTGAAAAGAGCTGCCACGTGGGCTGCAGGCCCTACCCTCTCCCTGAGATCGTTCTCACTGCTGTTCTTGTTGCCACCCATAAGGAGGGGTGCCACTTCCCTCTGAACCTTCAGGAACGGGTGATGCTAGAGCCTTTCTTGGTTTCCCTCAGCCCCAGGACCTGGGCACTGCAATTTTTTTGGGGGGGTGGGGGGTCGAGGCACTGCTATTTAAGAAATAAATTCAATTATTTAAAATTTACCAAAAATAAAATGAAAAGAGAAGCAGAGGATAAAATATGGGAAAGCATGTTTCATTACAATCTTGTCAAAGGGAAGGCCTTATTTCTAAGTGAGACATAAAATGGAGAATCAACAAAAGAAATGTTTGATAAACCTGAGGATGCAAAATTTTTGAATTTCTGTACCCACAACCACAAGATAGGAGAGAATATCTGCAACATACAAAGGAGATGGACAGCCAACTGACATAAAGGGAAACAGAAATTGCTTACGGACCTCAGAAGGTTCTGATTCTTCCCAATAGTCAGAAAACCTCAGATTAAAACAGCAAAATGAGAATTGAATGAGATCTATTCCCCTATCAGAATGGAGAATGCCAGAGAGTTTAAAGGTGTTGGCAAGGATACGAGGACTAGATCCTGCCACATGAGGGCTTAAATTGCCCAACCTTTCTAAAGGGCAATTCAGGCATATCCACATATGATCAAAATTAAAAGTGCACAAACCTTTGTGTTTTATTCTACAGATATTTTCACACCTACATGCAAAATATCTAAAAGCATGTTTATTGAAGCGTAGTTATAATGGGAAGAATCTGCAGCAACCGAATGTTCATCTAAACAGGAGTCTCTGGCCATATGATAATCCATCCACCAGAGAGAACTATGCCATCATGACAGCAATGTACCTGGACGGAATGGTCCACAGACGATTATCAACTGAATAAAAAGGAAGAGGCAGGACAGCGCATCACACAGAGGGACAAAGGCGCACTCTTGATAATGTATAGTCTATTTCTGAAAAAATGAATACAATTAACAGTCATCACACAGATGCAAAAGGGAATTTTCCTTATATACTCGTTTTATATTGTTTGAGTTTTTTGCAATGCACATGTATTATTTGCAATAAGTTAAGAGTTAATTTTAGTTTGAGTGCTCTACTAAATCTTAGGGGTCATCCTAAGGGACTAGCACATGGCTATGTGCAATGGGATGGCATCAGCAGAGTGGACGTGCCGCTCCATGGCCAAACAATGGGCTATGAGAAGTTGGATGCTCCAGCCTAGTTCATATGGGCCCAGAACACAATTCAGGGAACTCTCCTGGACCAAGGGACACATGACCACAGTCTTTTCTTGGAGGCTCTGAGCAAATGCCCCCCA